GTTGTTACCGGTGTCCTCAGTTTTCCATTTGGGCATACATGAGTCACGTGGGAGTGCGCTTTATTTTGGCTGATAAACTAACTAACTAAACTAACTTTAACTAACGCCATTTTGACTGCAATCTGCAGGAAATCAAATCGCATTAATCGGCATAATGCTTTAACTCGTCCATAATGCATTTTCACAGCATCTGACCCTCAGTAGAATCTGGATAGCTCTGCTACTCATATGCAAAAAATGCGCGTGGGCTGGAAGAGCCCGAGAATCAGATATTTGTAGTGCTATTAGGCCTCAGGTCAGTGCCATTCATATTGTACATAATATCTAACTAAAGTCGTCGAACCGATAACGTAAATGAAACGGAAAAAGACGCGACTGAAACAGATGAATCGTCAATAATCGTTGGTTCGTGGTAAATGGTTAAATGTGTCAGAGTCTCTACTACACATTTTGTGAATGAAGATTACTATTACTAACATCGACCTGCAGGACTGCTTCAAGCCTTCCGTGTAGCTCGAGACTGCAGTTCGTTAAGTTGAATGTGAAACATATGTCTGAGGTTGAGGGTTAATGCAACATCGTTTTGAAGTGGCGTTAGGGACGAGTTGAAGTGCCTCTATGATTGGTACCGCAAAATTTTTTCTCCGTGTTTGTTATGACAGAAAGGAAATCAAATTGCAAATGGACTATTTAGCTGGAATCATCAGAGGTTTCCTCAAATCAACTTAAAAGGGCCAGTGTTTGGAGCAGAACTACCGCGCGTGAACTAGTCAACTTGACAAGGTTAAGCAGGAATTTGGTCAACTGACTGTCCTGGCAGCAGAGTTTGCCTTCATCTCACAGCTGTTGATTGTCAAATCCGATGCATTTCATGAGCGAATGTTCACTATAGTCCAGTGGCGTTAGGGCTATCACAGCCCCCTTTTCCATCTATGGTCAAAAGATCGTAATTCTATCTATTTAAGGCCCGGCTTGGGTGACTGGCAGTTAGTTGGTAAAACTGAGAGACAAACGACGAGTTTCCTTTCGTCTCGACCTCTGACTCTGGCAGTGCCTCCGATTCATGCGACGATAGGGATAGTCAAAATGACGGAAAATGGAAATCCTTTCCTACCGACAACCCCTTGAGATTAAAGTTAAAGGAGCTAGGGAAAGAGGAAAATAAAGAAATACGTAAGTTATTATTGCACCTTTTCCATCTTTCATCATCCTTTGGTTCGCCTTTCCTTAATTCTATCCTAGTTCATCTTAGTTTTC